AATAACAGAAGAAAACAAATCTATTAGCTATTAAATGTAACCTGCCTATCCACTCTTGTCATAAATTCCTAGTCTTCTCTGAAGTGAAAAGTAATCCTTTAAATTCCTGATCCTAACAAAAAAGTAAATCTTTCAAATAAAATACTTTTGCCTTATTTAGTTTGATCTGAGATGTTATGCTTCTTGTGAGTTTCCTGAACTCCTTTTTAACTTACAACTGTACAGAGATTATAATACTCCCTTCACAACATTTAGCACTGGCATAAAGAAAATGATTTGGCAAGATGCAACTATAAAAATATTTTTTACCTGCAAGAAGTCAACCTGTGTACAGGTGCGAGGCAGCTCCATGGCCCAAGAACGAGTGTCGGCTGTGTAGCTGTCACCCTCAAGGTGCCCCGGAGCCTGGCTGCAGCCCAGCTGTGAGCCATGTCCCCTGACCATCACAGCACTAGTCACGGATCCTTGCACTCGGTGCCCTTGAAACTCAACAGGCTACGGTAAGTTATTAAGAATGGATCCTGCAGAAGTACATACTGACACATATGTTTACAATGTACTTATAGAGAGAAAATAGTGCACAAGTCAGCTTCCTATTAAGTATTACTTAATGTAAATAATTACCAAGGGACTAGCACTATTATCCTAAAACATGCTGAAGGTAACTGAAGTGCACTTATTTAGCAGTAATAAGGGTGAACTTATTATGAGCACAAGAACTATAGTAATGAGCTAATTAAGCCAGAAACAAGGGGTTGCCCCTTTTTCTCCGCTGCACTGTACACTGTAGGATGCCCCATTGCAGACCTGTCAGTCACTACAGTGACGTTTCTGCTAGCTGTAAGGGCCCCGAGGACTGAGGCCTTTTACTTCACCAGGGTGTCGTTACACTCATTTCACACCATGTTGGCACAGGCCAGCAAGAAACATGACAATGGGCAGAAAGGGAAGGAACACAGAAAGCTTTCTTGAAGTTTTGTAAATATCAAGCTTCACTCCAAGGGAGGGTGGGCTCTATGCCTCCCAGAAGATCTCATCCCATTGCTCTGAGAGTAAAGGCCTGAGTGTGACCCTAGCACCGCTGCAGCTCAGAATGGCTCCATCCCCAGGTGTGGTCAGCTTTCAGGCTCGCAATGGCTTTCTCTGCTGCCCCCATGAGGGTGCTGGGATTTTTACACTATACAGGGCGACCAAGCCTATCCAAAATGTGGAAAAATAAGATTGCTAATAGATCCAAAGGAATTTATTTCTAACTGATAAATGAACAAAATGAGAATGATGCATAATCTGTATATTCTCCTAATAAGAAAGAATATTCTAAGTCACATATTTGAAAGGAAACTCAAATCTAAAATGTCCCTTCCACAGGACTTTTGTTGAAAACATTACTCTGAATTTTGAAACATACACATTTCAATATAAAAAGTCTGCTTTGTTGGGTGGGCAGACACTTCTCCACAAGCAAATGATGCCTGTTCTCTGTGGTGTCGTGTAGTCCCTTCCAGAGCCTGCTGGGTGTCAGGAACAGAATCAGTAACCAAAGTCACCCATTGGGATGCTGCTGTCTCCACCCATTTTTGATGTGGAGCAGCACCCCTTAGGGCTTTGACCACAGACACACGTACACTGAGTCAGATGTGTGGGCGGCTACAGTCAAGGCTGTGGAGAAGCATCACTCACCACACCTTGCAGCCCTTATGACCAGCCCTCGGCATCGACGTACACCCTCAGATTAGGTCACTACAACAGAGAGGGCTCAGGACCAAAATGGGTAGGAGCCTCTTGTTTCTCTTCTTAAAACCAGGTGCACTCATGCTCACTAACCTGCCTATGAAAACTCTGATGATTGTGTAAAAAATAGCAGGAAAACACTGAGTTAGAAAAATAAGTGTTCTTCACAAATTTTACCTGAGGGCTCCAGATGTTTCTCTCTGTTTGTTTTGGAGTAACAGCTGGAAAAACTGTCCCTTCTTCACCTCCCAAGGCAAAGAACTAGAATAAAACACCAGTAAGTGTGTTCATGAGCTTGACAGAAAAATACTCCACAGCTGAGTGTTAGGTTTGCCCTTTGAAAGTCTGCTTGTCGCCAGGCTGACATGGCTCAGCAGTTGAGCATCGACCTAGGATCCAGGAGAGCACGGTTCGATTCCCGGTCGGGGCACATGCCCAGATTGCGGGCTTGGTCCCAGGTTAGGGGCATGGAGGAGGCAGCCGATCAATGACAACTCTCTCATCATTGATGTTTCTCTCTCTCTCCCCCTCTAGCTTCCTCTCTCTGAAATCAATAAAAAATTTTTTAAAAAAAGAAAAGAAAATCCACTTGTTATTTCCATCTTGCTTCTCTCTAGACATGTAGCAAGCCACCTGTGGCAAAGAAGTCCTCTGTACCATGCTAATTAACCTTACAATTCATTAGAAAATTCTGATTCTAAAACTTTAATTGAATCTTTTAAGACTAGAAAAAAATTACTGGGTACATTATAAATCACCCATCAGACCTAATGCTGATGTTAATGAAGGTTATTTAATGCAAAAATTAAAGGATGAAATTAAAGGAAGAAAAACTGTAAACAGTGTAACAGTTTATATAAAGAATGAATCATCTTGCAACCAAAACACAAGATATCAGCAACACCAACTAGTCATTTTTAGTTCAAGACAGTTGTAGTAGCAAAGTCATTAGAAAAATAAGAACGTACTCCTATATTAAAAAGATTAAAATTTTATTCTGGCCCTGGCCAATGTGGCTCAATGGCTAGGGTGTCTGCCCAAGCACTGCAGGTGACAGTCAAGGGCACATACCTGGGTTACAGGTTCAATCCCCAGCCCTGATTGGGGCATGTACTGAAGGCAGTCAGCCGATGTGTCTCTCTCACATCGATGTTTCTCTCTCTTTCTCCCCCTCCCTCCCACTCTCTAAAAATCAATAGAAAAATATCCTCCAGTGAGGATTAACAAAACAAAACAAACAAAATTATTTTGAAAGGCTGTAAGACCTTTTCCATTACTGTGAGATTACAACAGATTTTAAAAAAAAAATATGTGACACTGCCCTGGCCAGTGTTGCTCAGTTATTTGGAGAGTCAACCCATGCATGGAAAGGTCACCAGTTCAATTCCCAGTAAGGGCACATGCCCAGGTTGTAGATTTGGCCTCTAGTCGAGGTATGCATGGAAGACAACCGATGGATGTTTCTCCCCCACATTGATGTTTCTCTCTCTCTCTGTCTCTCTCTCCCTCTCCCTTTCTCTCTCTCTAAAATGAATAATAATAAAAAAGTGACATTTATTTTAAATGGCAACTCATTCTGAAGGAAAATACAGTGATGGTGTTTATTTGCAGTTTATACTTGGTGATAACTATCCTTGAAAAAATTTAAACCCTATTTTTTCCCAGTGGAAAAACCAGCAAGAATGTGATCACTTGTAAGCTAAATGATGCAGTTGCTGATTGTTTATGATTTCCTCACAACATGGATCTGTTCACCTTGCTCTGTGTTAGGCAGCAGAGCTGTCAGTGCAGCTCTGTCAATGACAATTTGTGGATCAGGTGATGCTTGCCAGCTTACAAAATTAGCTTTATGAAAAAGACTGGCTATTTATCAAATCCTATAGACCACACAGGACATTTACACAAAAGACAGCAGGTTCAGCTAAGCCAGTATGACAGGGTAATTAATTACAAATAAGTTTGAAAACAGACAATGTAAAACGCAAACATAAAATTATACGCCACATGCACGTGCACCAATATAACTTCCGGCTACTTTACATTTTATAGGTGAATTCACCTGCGAAGACTGCAGTGATTCAACTGACTCAACTTCATTTTCTTTCATCAGCATCGGAGTAGAACACTAACATAAGAGAAACCAAAGGCATAAGCTACAAAGTAACATAAAAACTTTATAAACATAAATGTAAGAACACCAAAAAATAAAAACTAGATATTGATTAACACTACTTGCACGTTGCAAGAACTTTAAAAGACCTTAATAATACTGGTGAATGTGAAGTGAAATAAATGCATATTGTAAAACATAAGATTTTTAGATTTGACAATTTATATCAAGAACCTAAGAAAGTCACTTTTAGCCTTTCAGGTTAGTTCTACTTCTGGGTATCCAATCTAAGAAAATAACTTAAATGTAAACAATGATTTGTGTGTAAAAACACTTACTGAAGTTTTATTTATATAGGAAAATGCTGGCAATAATCAAAATGTTCAAAAATAGCGAACGGTTTGTGCAAAGTGGAAGGTAACCACAGGATGAAATGGTAACCTCTGAGAGACGCTCAGGAAGTGCTCGATGACGTGAGAACGGAAAGGACAGAAAACTTCTTAACACATCGATCTAGCCATATTTTTAAACACAAGTCAAGAAAAGCTAGAAATATTAATAATTATCTCTGAGTAGTAGGGTAAGTTTTATTTTTTCCTTTACCTTTTTCTGTATTTAAAAAAGAAGGGGGTAAAAAAAAAATCAAGATTAAAAGGGGGGGGGAAGACCAGTAACATGGAAACTAGAGTAAGATACACACGGGGGCCAATGGACCACCTCACCCCTTCCTCTCAACAGGCCTGCCAGGAAGAGCAGCCAGAGTGAACTGTCTCCACTGAGAAATGCTAACCTTGAGGACTTCCTCTACAATTTCAATTCACCGGAATTAGTGCTGTTACTTTTTGTTAACTGCCATGGTTCCCATGGTGCAACGAGGTACTTTGGGGCTCTGCAGATATTTTACATTTGAGGGAAGTGTCACTTGGCATGTCAGACACTGAACAAACTAACTCAACATAGTTCAGACTTCATGTCATTTCTTTCCATGGCATCATGTCCTCGTGAAGCTGGGTTTTTGGAAATTGCTGTGATAAAAATCAATTTACACGCATGAATCAATGGGAGCAAGAAATCTAATCTAGTCTGGGTCTGAGAAGCTGCCCGAGTGCACACATTCCATTAGAAACTGTGTTTATTTAAGAATAAAATGTTCATGGTGATCATTTTACAATGTATATGTGTATCACATTACATTGTATTCCTTAAACTAATACAATGCTACATGTTGATTGTAACTCAATAAAACAAGGGGGGGAAGATAAAACGTATACTGATTACCAGGACATGATCAACAAGTGGAGCTGTTGGGCATTTCTTTTGGCTGAGGGATGAAAACATTACTGAGATACAAGGTGAGGTAGTGAACCTAGATAGCTTGGAACACTGTATTATTATAACCTCATTATGAACTATGGAACATTCTGTATCAAAATAAAATATGGTGATAGAAAAGGTAACATACCAGGTGAGAATCCTGATTCAGACGAGGAGACTGTGGAACAGCTCTTGAAACTACTGGAATCAAGGGTTTCCCAGCTACAATAGACAAAATGAAATTATTTCATTCAACACATTGCAGTGCTCTAAACTTTCTTAAAACTTATTTCTAAAACTGAATGAAACAAGGAATATAACTTAAATTTTAAGATGTGGCAAAATCTTGATAACTGTTGAAAAAAACTTCAATTATTTTCTGCACTGTGTGCCAGGCACTGGACAAACAGTGAGAGATAAACAAGGTCCCTCAAAAGGGAGGGACACAGAAAATAAACAAATAAACCAGGTAAATTCAGACTGTGATACAAAGAGTTTCATGTCAATGAAGTTTGAGAGCAGTTTTAGATAGGATGGTGAAAAGACCTCTCATGGGAAGTAACATTTCAGCTGAGACCTGAAGACAAGAAAACAACAGCTGTCGGGGTCAGTTCAGGTGAAGGAGATAGGTCTCAGAGGCAGGGCAGGGGTGGGG